GGAGAGGCAGAAAATGATACAGGCACTATGGAAAGCAATTTGGCACTTTCTTATAAAGTTAAACATACACTTATCATATGCCCCAGCAGTCCTAGTCTTATTATTGCCTAAGAGAAATGAAAACCTATGTTCACACAAAAACCTGTATATGAATGCCTATAGGAGTTCTATTCATAATCATCAAAACCTGGAAACAACTCAAATGTTCTGCAGCAGGTGAATGAGTCAGCTGTGGACTATCCATGGTGTGGAATATTATGCGGCAAGGAAGAAGAGTAGCACTAACTTAAATGACTCTCAAAGGCATTATGCCAAATCAGAGAGATCAGTCTCAAAAGTCACATATAATCTGGTTCCACTTACATAACATTCTGGAAAAAGCAAAATTACAGGGGCACAGAAAAACCAGATGAGTGGATTTGGAGTAGGAGACAATGTGACAACAATGGAACAGAATGAGGGAGTGTCTTGATTTTGGTGGAGGTGAATGGGTCTAAACGTATGTTAAAACTCAGAAAACTTTACACCAAAAGAGTCAATTTTACTGCATCTTAATTTAAATACATGTGTGTGTGTATATATATATATATATACACACACACATATATATATATTTTTTTTAAATGTGGTGATTGGCTAGGGAAGTCCTCACCTGACCAAGAGACTTGGGTTGGAAGGGTGATTCTAAGTGGGTGGTACAACAAGGGCAAAGGCCCTGAGGTGAGAGCACGCCTGGGGATTTGAGGCACAGAGGTCACCAGGTAGCCAGCCCCCCGTGGTGAGAGAGTGAGATGCCCACTGGCCTTGTGGGTGTCTGAAGCAATTCAAGTGGGAAATTATGCACCTGGCCAGTCACAGGGCAGTGGGGCTTGAGAGAGGGACGGTGCAGGAGATAAGGCCAGTGGGGCGGGGGTGGAGGCAGAAAGCCTAGGGCCCTGAGGGCCACTGTGAGGACTTTGGCTTTACTGAAAGTGGTGGCAACCCACGGGAGGGCATTGAGCAAGGTGTGATACCACGGGACTGTTTTTAATACTTGGGAACAGATCTTAAAGAAGGAAAGGTAGAGACAAGAAGCCTGGTTGGGAGACACAGGAGGCAGTGGATCAGTGTTGGAAGTTCTCTGCCTCCCACCTTGCTACCCCTGGGCCCTTTCTCCAGATGCCCATAGCACACCCTTTAGTGCCCCCAGAGTAGACCCCTCGCAGGCTGGAGACCCAGCCTCCACCTCTCAGCTCAGAGGCTCTGAGGCTAGCTGCTGAAGCAGGCATTGTGCAAAGAACTTCCATTCACTACTTAGGTTCTGTAAAAACCCCACAAACAAAGCCCCATTCAGGTCCCCACTACAGGGAAGGAGCCTGAGGCCTCTGGCCTAGGGTCACCCAGATATGATGTGCCTGTAAAAAATTAGTACAGAAACCTCAATTAAATGGAGCTGGGACACCAGAAGGGGGAGCTCTCACACCCTGCAATAGCAGAGCCCAGGCGAAGGAAGATTCCATCCTGGCAACAACGCAGCCAATTAAAAACAATGGACTGTTTGCTAGGACACCCCCAACTTCCTTTCCCTCATAAAAAAGTCCTCCTTCCTTTGCCACGTGGGGATTTGCATGCAGCTCACCCTGGATGCAGACCCTGAACTGGTAATTCTCTGCTGATCCCAAATAAGCCCAGTCTACTGTCAGTCTATTTGTTTTAGGTCAACATTTTGGTGACTTGTACAGAGACCCAGAGAAGACCCCTGGTGGGCTGGTAAGTAAACAGGTGCAGGGCCCACGTGAGCCCAGTTTTGCTCACTGATTTTCTCAGCGACCCTGGAGTTTGAAGGTGCTTATTTCTCCCAGATCTGAGCCTCCGCGCTCTGTGTTTTAAAGCTCTCTAGGCCTTACCTGGGATCTATTTTAAGGTTCTGTCCTTTCTGGTTAAGGCCTTGTTCCGCACTCGAGTACTCATTTGGCACTTCAGTCTGATTTTGAAATCAGACTCTTCCAACTGGAACTGGCTAGGCTTCAGCCTGTTCCTTTGGGAACGGAGGCTATTGCATTGGAACTGTGCCAGTTCAGCCTTCAGGCTGTTCCTTTGGAATAGCGGTTGTTCTATTGGAACTCTGCTGAGAAGCCTTCGGCATAGTTCCTCTAGGACCAACCTATTCCTTTAGAACTGGCTGGTATCAGGCCGCAGGCTGTTTGAGACATTTGAACTGTTTGGGCTGCAAGCTGTTTAAGCTGTAGGCTGCTTGAGCTTTTTAAAAAGTATTCTCTTACTCTAGAGAAAAACCTCTGAGAAATGGAACCCGGGTATCCAAATATTTTGAGGGCACCTCCTACAGGGACTCTGGCTGATTTTATGTTTAAAAACTGCGGCCCTTCCTCTTAAGAATGTCTAACTAAATGGACCAACCTAACCAAAGGCAATTTGGAACATCAATGGCCATTTTGGGGAACTTTTGAAATCCCCAGCCAGAGCCCTAAAATTTCCAATCCTGAATGGAATGCTTATTCTGATGTGTATTTTGAGGCTTCCAAATGTTCTCAGCAGCCTAAAATTGACTTTCTGCAAAAATAAGACTTGCCCTGGGGCAAAGGAATGTTAAAAAGATGAAATGGCTTCCAAAGCCTCAGGCTTCCTCCAGCGCCATCCTGGCTGTCCCCCTCCCCTCCTGGTGCACACGCCATCTTCCTGCTTCTCTTCTACGTCATCTACACCTGTGCCACACCCTCGGTCCTCCACGCTAATTCTCTCGCTGAGCTTCCCCTTTTCTCTAAATCTCTCCCCCTTCTCTTTTCCTCTGAACTGATCATAACCTGTCCCTTTAAACATTAAGCCTTCTGAGGATCCAGAGACTAAACCCTTCATTTCTTATATCCCCTGGGCTAAAGCTGAGCTGGGAGCCATAAACAAAGATTTTTCCCAAGTAACCAGAGACTGGCTGAGGAATTTAATACAGTCATTCAAAGTCAGCAACCTGGTTTCTTTGACTTGGATCAGCTGGTTCCTATGCTTGTCGGTAAAGGCCAGGCCCAGCATTAGGTGAAAATGACTAATTGGGAAACTCCCGATAGGTCTTGAGAATTACAACCAGGAGACCAGCCTGCTAACTTATATGACCAGACTCAGGCAATGGGGACGCAACGTCAAGGGGCAATTCCTACAGCTTTCCTGAAGCCTGTTGATTGGAACAAAATGCAGGCTTACAACACAAAAATCTATTCATGACTATTGCAACGGACTTCAGTTGTTTTTAAAGAAGACTCTGGTCTTCTTTCAGATGTTAATTCTACAGAGGCAGCTTTTAACTCTGTGTTTATTAACAGGCTGAAGCAGGACCCATTCCTTCTAGCAAAAAGGACTAGGATGGAATGGGAAACTCTGACCACTCCACATTTAATTCATCAGGAAAAACAACTCTCTCTCTCTCACTCCAGATGAGTCACCTAAAAGGGAGACAAATAAAATTTCTTTTTCTTTCTTTCTTTTTTTCTTTTCTTTTCTTTTCTTTTCTTTTCTTTCTTTCTTTTCTTTCTTTCTTTCTTTTCTTTTTCTTTGTCTTTCTTTCTCTTCTTTCTCTTTCTCTTCCTTCCTTCCTTTCTCTTTTCTCTCTTTCCTTTTCTTTCTTTCCTTCTTCCTTCCTTCCTTCCTCTCTTCCTTTCTCTTTCTTTTTCTTTCTTTCTCTCTCTTTCTTTCTCTTTCTTCCTTCCTTTCTCTCTTCCTCTTCCTCTTTCTCTCTTTCTTTCTTTCTTCCTTCCTTCCTTTCTCTTTTCTTTCTTTCTCTCTTTCCTTTTCTTTCTCTCTTTCTTTCCTTCTTCCTTCCTTCCTCTCTTCCTTTTTCTTTCTTTCTTTCTTCCTTCCATTCTCTTTTCTTTCTCTCTTTCCTTTTCTTTCTCTCTCTTTCTTTCCTTCTTCCTTCCTTCCTCTCTTCCTTCCTCTCTTCCTTTCTTCCCTTTCTTTCTTTCTTTCTTTCTTTCTTTCTTGTATTAATAGACTTTATTTTTTAAGAGCTGTTTCAGGTTCACAGCAGAATTGAGCAGAAAATACAGAGAGTTCACACAAAGCCCTCCCCATAAAATTCTTTATTTATTCTTTATGAATAAATGAACTTAAATGAAACCAAAACCCTGCTATTATAGCAAAGAGCCCGGACATCAAAAAGAGGTTGTTTCAAATTTCAGTGCTTCAGGCACTTTTACTTTCCTAAACAGCCTTTCCAGTGTCCTCCCAACTCTTAATGATGGGTCTCCGAGGAACTACGGGGTTCTTCCAAAATTCCCTCTTAACTGGCTTAGAGAAACCTGTCTCCAGTGGGTGAACCTCTTTCAGTTCTAAATGACACTGGAGCCACATTCTCAGGGCTCAGCCCCACCTCTATAAAGCAGCCTCTGAATCGGAGTAAATGGTTCCGATACTGGGCATCTCCAGTGACCCTCAAGAGGTTCCTCGCTCTCAGCCTATTCCATTTTGTTTAGCCTCTTTGAGAGATACACACTCTCTTCTCTTTAGTTCCTACCTATATATTAGGCCGAGACTTCCTAGAAAAGTATCGTGTCAGAATTCTTTTCTCCCAAAAGGGAGAAACAATTCCAGAATTTGACAGAATCATCAAGGTAACTCAGCAAGTGAATTGAATGATGCTTTCATAACATTGTTTGCTCCACCTCTGATGGTACTACAGCTGATTCAGTGAACAGATCATTTGTCTCTACTGAATCAGCTACCATCCTCCTTATAAGAAATATCACCAGCTGATATTGGCAAAACTTACAGCACACCTCCCACCAAGATACAAACAGATCCCACAAAATCTCTTCCCAGAATTAATCAATATATGGGTAAAGAAGCCATTCAATGGCCATCATTTAAAAAGTCCACAAATGATAAATGCTGGAGAGGCTGTGGAGAAAAGGGAACCCTCCTACACTGCTGGTGGGAATGCAGTTTGGTGTAGCCATTATGGAAAACAGTATGGAGATTCCTCAAAAAAACTAAAAATACACTTACCATATGGTACAGCAACCCCACTCTGGGGCATATATCCTGAAGGAACTCTAATTCAAAAAGTTACAGGCACCCCAGTGTTCATAGCAGCACTATATACAATAGCCAAGACATGGAAACAGCCTAAATGTCCATCAACAGATGATGGATAAAGAAGCTATGGTATATTTATGCAATGGAGTACTACTCAGCCATAAAACATAATAAAATAATGCCATTTGCAGCAACATGGATGGACCTGGAGATCATCATTCTAAGTGAAGTAGGCCAGAAAGAGAAAGAAAAATACCACATGATACCACTCATATGTAAAATCTAAAAAAAGAAGACACTAATGAACTCATCTACAAAACAGAAACAGACTCACAGGCATACAAATAATCTTATGGTTACCAGCGGAAACGGGGTGGGAAGGGAGAATTCTGAAAGTTTGAGATTTGCAAATGTTAACCACTATATACAAAAATAGATTTTTAAAAAACTTTCTTCTGTATAGCACAGGGAACTATATTCACTATCTTGCAACAACCTTTAATAAAAAATGAATATATGTATATATATATATATATATATATATATGCATGACTGGGACATTATGCTGCACACCAGAAATTGACACATTGTAACTGACTATACTTCAACTACAAAAGGAAAGAAAAGAAGCCATTCAAGGCACAGAGCCCATAATGGTAAGATTAGAAGGCTCAAGGCCTCATTATCCCTTGTGCTAGCCCGTGTAATCCTCCCATTTAACAGGTGAGAAAACCAAAAGGCTGAGGAGGTAGGTTTGTTCTGGACCTCCGAGCGATAAACAACATTGTTACCCCTTGACACCCTGTTGCTTCTAACTTTCATACCTCACTAATGGCCATTCCCACAGGAGGTAAATTCTTTACTATGGTTGATTTATGTAGCACATTCTTTAGTATTCCAGTGGATGAAGCTAGCCAATAATTTTTGCCTTTATTTGAAAGGGAAAATTATTCATAATCTGGACAATAATGCCTCTGGGTTTTCCCAGAGTCCTTATTTCTCACAAATCCTGAAGGCTGATTTGGATGCTAACAAAGTCCCCTAGAGGTTCTGCTTTGTTGCAGTATGCGGCTGATCTGTTTCTTTGCTTCCCTTCTTAAACCTCCTCACAGGAAGCCATCAACCACTTGCTAAAAGTTTTAGCCTCAAAGGGACATTAGGTAGCAAGGATAAATCGCAGTTTGCCTCGAACCCAGGTTTGATATTTAGGGGGTCTGACATCAGGACAAGGGCTACCCCTATATTCAGAGAGACTTCATGGTGGCCTAAGTTCCTCAAAACCCCCCAAAAACGAAGCACCAGCTGTGAGGTTTTCTTGGACTCGTTGGTTGTTGCCAAAACTGGGTTCCAAATTTCTCTGATGGCCAAACTTCAGCATGTTTTGCTGAAGAACGACCCCAATCCAATTTTATGGGAGGAACCGATGACATAACGTTTAAGGACTTCAAAAGAAAGTTTGTTGAACCCACCTGCCCTTGGGCAGCCCAATGATCAGATTTCCTTTTTGTACATGAAAAGGAAGAGAATGCCCGTGGGAATCTCACCCCAAAACACAGGGATCACCATCAATCAACCCAGAGGGCATGATAGCCAGCATCGGGGCCTGGAGCGCAGGAATACCCCTGACATCGCCGCCACTGCCCTTTTGGTTAAGACCACCAAGGAAGTCATTGTGGGGTCTCCTTTAATCATTTTGTACTTCATGAATTCTCATCACACTCATCACACTCAACCTTTCTCAGTCAGCCGCCTCACCTCCTATGAAACCCTTTTGTTAGTTGCCCTTCACATAACTCTTTCACATCGTAATTACCTTAACCCTCCTACTCTTCCGTCTTGTCACCAGTGAAGTCCCTCCCAACTGTTTAACCTTGATGGACCACCTCCTGACTCCTCATAATTATCTATAGGAGATTCCGTTGGCTAACATAGACTTCTCATATTCACCGATCGCCCTTCTCCCTGACCTTGAGTTATTACTAAGATTCCAGAGCATCCTAAACTTGACTCTCAGGAAGCTAAGGTAAATCACCTTGCTGACAATTCTGCAGGGATGCTGCCCTTAAAGGAACCAACAGCAGCTAAACTAATGTCATGGTCCAAAGGGATATTTCTCCAAATGATAATTTAAAACAACTGGCTAGAGAAGCCCCCAAATTGGCCTCCAGAAAGGAAAAACAAGACTGGAAATTCAACAATTGTTGGTTTGATAAAAACAAAAAGGTCTGGGGGGTGGGGGTGGGTATAGCTCAGTGGTAGAGCACATGCCTAGCATGCATGGGGTCAATCCCCAGTACCTTCATTAAAAAAATTTGATAAAAAAAGAAGAAGAAAAAGCTCTAGTTCAGACCAAATAACTCCCCAGGCCCACCAGAGACTCTTAAATTCCCACTCCTCACCACTGTGCATGCATTAAACCATTGGTCTACTGACCAAATGATAGCCTTCACAAGTCAATGTTGGTGGGGAAACATTAACAAGGTCGCAAGAAGTATCTACATCACTGTTCCACTTGTCTGAAGTACAACCCAGGGAAGCTGGTTGAAACTGCTCCTGGAAACTTAAAATTGCCCGATGGGTCATTTGAGGTCAGGCAAATGGATTTCATACAACTTCGTCTATTGCGTGGATAGAAATGTTTTAGTCGCGGTTTGCATGTTTTCACACTGGACTGAAGTTCTCCCTTGCAGATAGGGTACTACCTCTTCTGTGACTAAAGTCCTTTTGGAAAAGATGATCCCTCCCTGGGGAACTCCTCTCAAACTTCATCATGATCAAGGAATCCGCTTCACTTGAAGCTAGCTGCTTCAATAAGTTTGTGCTGTTTGGCCAGTTTGACAAAAATTCTTCACTTTGCTTACCACCATCAGTTCTCTGGTTTGGTCAAACACACTAACAGCGTCATTAAGATTCAGTTGGCAAAACTCAACAGAGGCCCTTCACCTACCTTGGTCAAAAGCATTGTTGTTGGTCTTCCTAAATTTTAGATCCACCTCTTTTGGAACTTACAAACTTTCACCCTTTGAGACAAAGGATGCCCAATGCAGTTAGCTCCTGCCTCTTTTGACCCATAACTGATAACAAGAGAGTTACTGCAGTGCTGCAAAGGCCTAACCGCTTCCATGAAAAATAACCATGTTTTGGTAGAGCAACCTTTTGCAGTGCACTCTTGGGGGCTGAAGACCTTGAGCATGACATCTTGTAACCTGGAGATTTCATCTACTGGAAAAGACACCTCCAGCTGGACTCTCTTCAACCTTGCTGGGAAAGGTTATCAAGTACTGCTAACCAACCCTTGTGCCACAAAACTCCAAGCAAAGCAATTCTTGGAGTCACATGACACACCTAAAGAAAGCTTCAAACCCTGTCTGGCTGGACCTGCAGATCATCTGGCGACCTCAAAGCAGAAATTCCCCTGAACTGAAGAAGATGACATCTAAAGAGACAGCTTTCCAACGACAGCTGGACCAGGCCTGTTGGAAGGTTGTCACCAAACCTTTGATGACATAACACTTCAGGTGATCTCTAACATCTAGGGTCTTTAGCTAAAAACTGCCTGAGAGTTCTCCCTTCTACCCCTCCTGTTACTTAAATGTGACCTCAATATCTGTGCACCTTCCCTCTGACATAGGATACTACACCCAGAAAAGGTCCTTCCTGGCATGGAGGGACAAAAAGGCCCTGAAACTGGGAAACCTGACTCAGATCAGTGATGCTTTCCGAGAACGATCTTGATCAAAAAGGGGAAATGCAAAAAGTAATAATAATAATAAACAGAAACCTCAATTAGAGTTGGGAGATCAGAAGGGGGCGCTCCCATGCCCTGTAATGATAGCACAGCCTCCTCC